ACCTCGGCCTCCTGGGTTCAGGCAATTCTCCTGCCTCAGCCTCCTGAGTAGCTGGGATTACAGGCACGTGCCACCATGCCCAGCTAATTTTTTGTATTTTTTAGTAGAGACAGGGTTTCACCATGTTGACCAGGATGGTCTCGATCTCTTGACCTCGTGAGCCACTGTCTTATTAAGCTTCTTGTGTACAAAGTTCATGAATAAGCAATAGTTGTTTTATAGAGAATGTCTATTATTCTTCAGATTAAGAACAAAATATTTGGTGCTTTTTAGGTTAGTAAAAATTAAAAAAAAAAAAAAAAAAAGGACACAAAATAATTGCAGGGATTTAAACTCATCTTTCCATGTTGCACAAAAGCCTGTTAGCATTCCTAATTGTAAAGGTATGGGACTTCAAGAACTGAAGTTAAGCTGTAACTATTCAAAATATTAGCAGATTATCAGATTTATTTCTAATAAAGTAAATGTACCTCAATTCTATTATTTGGTGAAATAACTCTTTCTGACCTTGAAGGAACAAGGGGGGTTTTGTTGTTTTTGCACTTGTATCAGTTATTTCTACAAGACTGACGTTCTGAAGCAAAATTCCATAATATAAAAAAATGTGCTACTGAAATTTTCAAAAATAGGTAATAGCTTTCCAAAAGGTTCTGTGCCCATTTTTGTCTCTGCCAGTTCATGAATGTGTGTATCAATTCCCCCATGCACTCTGCAATATTATATATTATGCATCTTTTTAATTAAGCTTATTAATTTCTGGTCTGATAGGTGAGAATTCTATGTCATTATTTTAACTCCTTGCACTTCTCAGGCCCAAGAAAAATGCAAAAAAAAAAAAAATTGTTCATGTTCATTTTTCAGTTGGCATTTTTGACTACAGTTTTATTTTGATTTTATTTTAGGGGGAGTCTTGCTGTCACCCAGGCTGGAGTACAGTGGCATGATCATAAGCTCACTGCAGCCTCGAAATCATGGGCTCAAGTGATCCTCTCCTTCCCTACCTTAGCCTCACACACTACTATGCCCAGCTAATTCTGTTAAATTTTTTTAGAGATGGAATCTATGTTGCCTAGACTGGTCTTGAACTTCTGGGCTAAAGCAATCCTCCTGCCTTGGCCTCCCAAAGTGGTAGGATTATAGGTGTGAGCCACCCAAACTGGCCTTTGCCAGTATTTTTAAATCCAAATATCTATGCATGGTGCTTACTATGTATACAGTGGTATTCTAAACATGTTTCACCTATAATTTCATCTT